ATTTCTCAGACCACATTGCTAAAACTGCCCGGTCCTGCAGATTTGCTTTATTCAACATCAAGAAGATCAGGCCCTTTCTTTCAGAACAAGCAACACAACTTCTTGTTCAAGCTCTAGTTCTGTCCAGGCTGGACTATTGCAATGCTCTCTTGGCAGGTCTTCCAGCCACTTCTATCAAACCTCTACAATTAATCCAGAACGCGGCAGCAAGATTAATCTTTAATGAGCCGAAAAGAATGCACGTCACACCTCTGTTTATGAATCTGCACTGGCTACCAATAGCTGCCCGCATAAAATTCAAGGCATTAATGTTTACCTACAAAACCACCACTGGCTCTGCACCCCTTTACCTAAATTCATTACTTCAGAGTTATGTGCCTCTAGAAGCTTGCGTTCTGCAAGTGAACGTCGCTTTATTGTTCATCTCAAAGAAGCACAAAATCACTTTCACAGACTTTTTCATTAACTGTTCCCTCCTGGTGGAATAACCTGCCCAACTCAATCCTTAACCATCTTCAAGAAAAGACTAAAAACACATCTGTTCCACCTTTATTTGACCCTCTAACTCTAGCACTCTCTACTCTAATTCTATTCTTTAAAAAAAGAAAAACTTGCCCCTTTTAGACTTGCACTTTATTCACTTACTAACTGCTTATTTTTCTTTAAAAAAAATAACAAACTAACACTAGCTTCTCTATTCTTTTTGTATTCTATTTGTTTTGTTTTTATTTATTATACAATTAACAAAGCAAAAAAGACCTCTAACACTAGCTTGCGCTATTCTTTTTCTATTCTATCGGTTTTCTTTTTATTTATTATACAATTAACAAAGAAAAAAAGACCTCTAACACTAGCTTGCGCTATTCTTTTTCTATTCTATCGGTTTTCTTTTTATTTATTATATAATAAAAAAAAAAACCTTGCTAAGTGTACTGCATTAAGCTAACTGAGGCTTGTTATAGCTCTTGTATATCATTGCTCTTTTGTTGGTTTAGATTGCTTCCATTTGTAAGTCGCTTTGGATAAAAGACTAAATGTAATGTAATGTAAATGTAAAGATCCTTTAAAGTCATTTTTGTTTTAAATGAGAAAAGCACTGAATAGACATTACAAGAAATATATTGATTCAACATGCATAAATAATGGTAATAAATGGGTATTAATATTTTTTAAATTTAATATTTAAATTTTTTTTTTTTATAAAAATTGAATAAGTATGAAACTAAAACAACCAGATTCCACCAAATTCATTCAAATAAATGTAATTGTTGCACTTTTTTTTTTTTTATTCAGAATTCTAGATCTAATTTTCTGTAAAAAAAAAAAACCTATTAAACAATTTTTTATCCAAACAAAATGTTGATCTGTAGACAAAGAAAAATTAAAAACACCTTTTTACAAATATGCATGCCTTTCACATTGTGTCAGTGTTATTCATATCTATAGCTCACATAAAAAAAAATTAAAAAAAAATTCTCATCATGCAAAGTGCTGAAAATTTAAATCAAAATGTAAAAGAATTAAAAGTACCAACAAAAAAAAAAAGACTGAGTAACTGAAGAGGAGTAACATACAGATTAGATAATTATCTATGCACATACTAATTACACAACAAGCGTCACTAAAATCACCCAAATAAGATTTAAAACAGATTAAATCAAATCAAAATGTTTATTTTGATACGCTTTATGGAAATTCCTCAGCTGTGATTGGACAGGGGGAAATTAGGCTAGTTTTCTTTGCTTTTGTGCAGGTTTTGAGAAGGCTTTGGACTGGACATTTTTCTGGGACCTGGCAACCCTGACACTGGCAGAAGCGGGATGCAACTAACTTGGCAAACTTTGGCAAATTCTATTGCACTAGACTGTACTTTGTAAACACGACCCCGTCTCTGTCGACACTATGAACCTGTGCAACAATTCCAGACGGTTACATAAAGACAGCCAATTAGATTAGAGCTTGCCAGATTGAGAAAGCTCTTGGCAGCTGTGTATGCAATGTGTCTCGTGTGTGTGTGCGTGCGTGTGTGTGTGTGTGTGTTACCGGGTCTGCGGCGGCCAGCTGACAGCGCTGCACCAGGCTGCTGAAGGTGGTCTTGAGGATCATGTGTTCGGCGGGGATTTCCTTCTGCTCCACGTGCTCGGCAGGAAGCTGCTGTAAGGACTACAACATACACACACACACTGTTAATATGATGAAAAACACAAGCTCATCTGACAGGCTCTGGCATGACGACCTCTGACCTGCACGCTGGGCTCCTGAGGGGCTCCGGGCGGCACCTGGATCCGATCCTGAGGAACAGGAGCCTCCACCGGGAAACCCATCACCGGTGCTGTGATCGGAGCAGGGGGAGTGTAGTTCTCTGGCAGCTGGACAACACACACACACACACACACACACATACACGCACGCACACATACACGCACACACACACACACACACACACACACAAACACACA